TCGAACCCGCCACCTTAGGTGTATGTGGCTGGTGCCTTAGCCGCTTGAGCCACAGGCGCCGAGCCATGACCTGGCCTTTTCACACAACCTGATTCCATTTCCCTTCCTTTATTCTTCCAACAGGGCTACTTTACAATTTGTTGTTAAAACAATAATCACTGTTTATATGATTATGATTATGGAAATATTCAATGCTGAGCTGAGATTTTTCTTTCTTTCTTTCTTTTTTTTCTCTTTGAGAAAGAGTCTCACTCTGTTCTCCTCACTAGAGTGCCATGGTGTCACAGCTCACAGCAACCTCAAACTCTTGGGCTCAAGTGATCTTCTTGCCTCAGTGTCCCAAGTACCTGGGACTACAGGCCCCCACCACAACGTTTGGCTTTTTTTTTTTTGGAGGGGAGGGTCTCACTCTTGTTCAGGCTGGTCTTGAACTCCTGAACTGAGGTGATCCACCTGCCTCAGTCTCCCAGAGTGCTAGAAGTACAGGTGTGAGCCACTGGGCCTGACCAAGAAATAGGGTCTTGCTATATTGCTCAGGCTAGCCTCAAAATCCTGGGCTCAGTAATCCTCCTGCTTCATAGCTGAGACAGGCACAAGCCACCTCGTCCAGCTCCACATCTCCTTTCATACCCAACAGTTCTTTAAATGCATGTAAGGATGCTTGCTCCAAGCTGCAAGTAACAGAAAATCCATCTCACCAGCAGTGGCTTAAACCATAAAGCCTCATTTCTAACTTGAAACATGTGTTCCTGGCTTGTGGCTAGCGGCTAGCATAGCGTTTTTTCCAGCCTGTTGGGGCGGCCACTGCAGGTTGAGAACTCTTCATGAGAAATAAAACTCTCCTTTTTTGGCCAGGCTCTAAAAACTAGCTAGGTATTGTGGCAGATGCCTGTAGTCCTAGCTACTCAGGAGGCTGAGACAAGAGGATTACTCGAGCCCAGGAGTTTGAGGTTGCTGTGAGCTATGACACCATTTCACTCTACCGAGGGCAACATAGTAAGACTATGTTGTTAAAAAAAAAAAAAAAAAAAAAGAGCGCTTTTTGGGGAAGCAGCATTTTTCCTGGAGTTAATAATTGCCTTCACTTTTTAGTTACCTGTTTTAGTTTCAATCAATCTTACAAATATTTATTGAAGTTCTACTAGATTTCAGGCACTTTTCTAGGTACTGGATATTCACTTTATGCAGGAAAAACTAAG